TGAGCTGGGAAATGAAGATTTCCATTTGGAATCAATGAGATATTGTGTGATGAAATTTTTATGGGTTCCATGAAAATGAATTATTTAGAAAAATGGAAAAGATTTACAGGTAGTCCTCAACTTATGATAGCAATTGAGACCAGAATTTCTGTCGCTAAGCAATGTGGTTGTAAAGCACAACTGCATTGCTTAGTGACAGCAATCCCTGCAGTCCCAGTTGCCGCTGTTAACCAAATCCCACAGTCATTAGGTGAGGCAATTTCCTGCTGGTTTCCCACAACCAAGTCCATGGGGAAGCCAGCAGGAAGTTGCAAGTCCCAGGTTGCTCGCGAGCAGGCAGCAGGCAGATAAGTGGCTGCTACAGGGTGGGGGAGGGCACAAGGGTGCAAGGGAGGAGTGGCAAGTCTTGGGGAGAGTGTGAGGGAGGCACAAGGAGGGTATACAAGGGTGTGAGGGAAGCACAGTGAGGGTCAGAGGGTGCACGAGTGGCTGGTGCAGCATGAGTGCAGAGGGACTGGGGGAGGGTCCTTGGGGGGAGACTTACCCCAGCGATTTGTGATGTTCCCTGCTGGTTTCCCCATTGACTTTCTGGGAAGACAGCAGGGAAGGTCACAAATGGCCATCAGATGATCATGGGGCACTGCAACCGGTTGTAAGTACAAGCCGGTTGCCAAGCACCCAGATCACTGTCACATGACCTCAGGGGTCCTGGGACAACCAAACTCCAAGGACTGGTTGTAACCACCATTTGTTCAACACTGTCATAACTTCAAATGGTTGCTAAACAAATGGTGGTACGTCGAGGACTGAAAAATAAAATGAGAATTTTCAACTACTCTGACATCTGTGATGCTGTTCCATTCATTATGCATAATCAATCTGTCTGCTAATAAGTTATATATTACTTCTAGCCATCAAAAGATTCGTAATCCCTCCTCTAAGACCATGGCATATCCTTTCATCCCTACCCTTTCATAGAAAATGAAAAAGCAGAAATGTGCAAAATCATCTGATTGATTCTTCTTCATAAACATCCTTTCTCAAATCCAACAGCTAGAAAGAAAGTCCTTTGACCTGCAGCAGTTGCTCCAAATGAATCAGCAGAATGCAGAAAGTTTTAATGACATGGACCATCTGAAAATTATTCTTGAATCTCAAATGGAAGCCCTGCAGATTGAGAAAGCAGAGCTGATTCAGAAGCTTCAGAGCACTGCAGAAGATGTCAAATACATCAGCCAAGAAAAAGAACGTCTGAGAACGGAGGTAGAAGCTCTTCAAGCTGAGAAGGATAACAT